GAGAGAGAGAGAGAGAGAGAGAGATCTAATTGCTTGATTACCTTGGCTGTAGCTCACTCTCATATTGTCTATATTCTGCCTTCCACCTTACTGATCCCTTTAATAATGTGATATAAAATATGGTTAAAGTCATTAGTATATCAACTCTTTTTGTTATTAATCTTTTGTTACTAATCTTATAGAAAGTTTATTTTATCCTAGATTTAGTTCACATAGTTTATTGCTACTTCATGTTTGAAAGAATTACAGTCGGAAGAGTTTCTTATTGTACAAGTAGTGAAAACATTATAGTTTCAATAAACATGTTGATCCTCTAAAGCAAGGTATGTTTTCAACTTCACGTCAATGGGAATTCCCAACATGGTTTATTTCTCTTTAATTACAACCTTAGTTGATAATATTTCTTGAAATCTCTACAGATTTCTTGAGACCACGTCAATTTTAGAAAAACCATGGTGATATTCTTGGAACAAAGGGGAGAAGTCAAGCTATCATACTCACAGACATTATTTCCAAAGAAATAAGGGTACACAATCCTTTTCTTTAATATGTATGGGTTGCTAGCTCTACAGCTGCAAATACTGCTTGCCAAAATACTGAATGTGACTGATGCTAAGATCTGCAAAGAGAAGGAGCCACATTCTCCAATTCATGTACACAATCAACCAGGAGATATTATTGTTGGCTTCATTACATCTCAGGCGTACATAATTGATGATAAAATAACTTTTAACCTAGAGCCTTCTCTAACAGTGTTGGATGAAATTATGTATGAAATTGGCATTCTACTTTCATTTCTTAAATTCCAACATATTTTTGAGCAGCTACAAATTTAATCTATGTCTTGGGTAATGCAGAAAGTTAATCAATTTTTTTTTTAAAAAAAAAGGCTGGTGGAAGAGAAATTATATTTCTTACTTATTTACATGGGATGAAATTTATTGTTATAGAAAAAAGTATGGAAGCATTTGGGTTTTGTATGTGACAAATCTGGAAGATAATATGATATCTTTTGAGGTTTTTCCTTTTTCCCACAGTTAAGACTGTGAAATGACTATTCTTTCCTCTTTCTTAAATAGTAGGTATGTTTTATAGCAATTTATAACACTCATATTTGTAGGGGGTCTATTATTATGTTTTCTTTAGTTTTTATAAAAATTGAATAGTTTGATGAAGTTAGTCATCTGTCCAATTATTTTTGTTGATGCACTAGGTTATAGAATAAGAATTAGACACCTTTCTTAGAAATACTCTATTAAAATAAAACTTCCTTTATAGTATGGTGCCCAAGAATTACCAGCATATTACAGCCTTGACATTTGCAATAAAGGAAATTAATGAAAACCATCAGATTTTATCCAATTGCACTATGGGCTTCCACATCTTTGACAGTTATTTCAATGCAAAATGGAGTTATCGTGCTGTGATACAACTCCTATCTTCATTTGAGAACTTTGTCCCCAATTTTAAATGTAGCACCCAGAATAATCTGGTGGCAGTCATTGGAGGACTAGATCCAGATGTCTCCCTTTATGTAGCAACTGTCTTGGATATTTACAAAATTCCACAGGTAAGATATATTTCTGTTTATGTATAAAACATCTGTGCAATATTGGATCTGAGACAAAAGCCTATATGCAGAGATATCCAGTGATATTTCTGATTTTTTTAAAGGAGTAAGATATATATGGTGAAAAGCATCCATTGTTGAAGCAATTTGAAAAAAGGAAGAAAATAGCACACTATTTCTATGCAATACTGTTGTTTGTAGCTTATGTCATTAAATTCTTAATGACATGGATGCAGAATGTAGAAAAGGAATAATAATAACCTTCGACATTGACAAATTCACCATCAGTCAATTGTAAAAGGTAAAAAAAAAAATACTCAGAACAGCTTCCATCCAACAATATCGGTTACACTATCAAACATCCATATCTGCCTCTCCCAGGTCCTTGGAAAGGACTTTATACATAGACAAAAATATCAAACCCAGTCTGAACATCAGGCTGACTATGCAATTAACCATAATAGTAATAACTGGATTGCATGTAAAACACAGAAAGACAAAATGAATTAAGATAGAGTTAAGCATTTCCAAGCCTGTGAGTGATTCTGGTTGAATAGATAAATTAATGAAAGGAACACTATAGAGGAACACTATAATTCCAATTATGCCTCTGGCCAAAATAATTACCTGTTAAATGCCTTTTTTTTTAGTCCACACCAGTAATACATTAACATGTGTCAAGATGCAGGGAAAATAATTCTCTGTTTATATTGTCAACAAGAATGTTACATTTTAATGCGTTCTTTTGTTGCTTTTAAAATAAAAACCAAAAATGGAGAAAAGCACAACGTAATAGATACATTGTCAAAGAAAAAAAATACACTGAAAGTGCTTTAAAAATGGAAAATAGAACAAAAGAAAAAGAAATAAAGTAAAATATAACATTTTATCAATAAAGTTTCAATTCTAAGCGTGGTTATTAAAGTACATCTATATTTATAATGGATTTAAGTAACTATCATTATTATACTTTTTTTAATCTGCTGAATTGAAGTGAAATGGAGCATACATTTTTCTTTTTAATGCTGCATTGCTGCAATGTTGGGGAAATGTGAATATTCACAAAATGAATATTATTCCCAGATTAATTTATAATGTAAGATTCCAATTTTTATATATCTGAAAAATATTTTTACAGAAATAGATTCTTTTATAATTTTTTAAGGGTTCTCCAATTCTGAGAATATCTTCAATAAAATACAGTTACTGGTTAGTAATTTATAATTCATGAGAGATGGTTTAGTTTTCCAAATCTGTAACTATATCATTAAGTTTACCTATTGTCAACTAATAAATATAGGAAGACAACAGTGTTAATTTTTTGATTTGGGAGAACACACGCACATACTCACAAATAAACATTTGGTTGGATGGACAGCATTAGGATCTAAATAAATTAATACCCTACAGTCTCTGGAATCAGTTAGATAGAAACATAGGTAATATAGTGTCTAGCATTTTTCTCATGCTAAATTGACTTTATGGGAAAAACTAAAAATTGGGGGAAATGATGATATGGAAAAAGTGGATGAAACTGAACCATTTACTTTGAACGAAATGAAAGATAATGAACATGAATTTTTAATACACTCTGTGTTAAGAGATAAATATCATGGTCAAATGGCAGTTTAAAAATACAAAAAAAATTAACAACAATATTTGGACAATGTGTCATGTCATCATTATTGGACCCTTGCCCTTTTTCTCCATATCTCTCTTTAGCTCATATATGGCTCTCCTCCAGTGATGGATGATAAAACCCCAGGACTGCCTTTCTATCAGATGGTGCCAAGAGAATTAATCCAATATGTAGGGATTCTCTCTTTGCTTCTACATTTCAGATGGTTGTGGATCGGTATCATTGCTATGGATAATGATGATGGAGAAAGATTTATCCGAACAGTTGTTCCTCTGTTCTCCCAAAGTAGTATTTGTTTTTCTTTTATAGAAAAAATTCCTAAACCATCTTTTGATATTGATGGAAGAGAAAATATGATAAAGGGAGCAAGAATACATGATAAAATCATGCTCAATGAAGCCAATGTACTAGTTGTCAATGGAGATTCTTACTCTGTGGCTATTTTTAGATGGTTTCCATATCTATCTGAATTAGAACATGTTACTAAGAATCCAAGAGGTAAAGTATGGATACTAACAGCACAGGTAGAACTCACTTCATTTGTTTTTCAAAAGGATTGGGATGCAGAATTTTCCAATGGAGCTTTGCACTTTGTAGTTCACTCCAATGATCTACCAGATTTTGAACTGTTTCTTAAAAATCAAAGCCCAACAACCCACAACCCAGATGGTTTTATCAGGGACTTCTGGCAACAAGCCTTTGGTTGTGTGTTTCAAAATCAACATCTAGATGAAGTGAAAGGAAAAATTTGCACAGGGAAAGAAGACCTAAAGAGTCTTCCTGCAACTTTCTTTGAAATGCAAATGACTGGTCAAAGCTACAATGTCTACAATGCTGTTTATGCTGTGGCCCATGCTTTAAGTGAAATGTCTTCTACGATAACTAGAGGACTCAAATATAAGGGAAAAAGAACGGCTAAAGGAGTAGATGTTAAGGTTCATGACTTGTGGAAGGTAATTTTTGAAATAAGTTTAATACTTTCCCCATTCAACCAAGTTGAAAGAGTTTTCTCATTGCAATCTATTTTGTATCCCAACTAGTTTAATAGTAGTAGGCATAGCTTCTACTACTGTATGGCCCAAGAGTCATTTATTTTTGTTTTGAAGACTAGAAAAGCTCGACACTTCTAGCAGATTTGAGATGGAAATCACTTTTCCAATGTCATTTGCACTATATTATAAATATATGAATTCATTTTACATTTTACAATGTTGTATAGTTTATTCCTGTGCTCAGCATTGAAACTCATCTACTGCAGTAAAGTTCCAGCACTAAACAAAAAAGCTGGTGAAAAAGTCAAAGCAAGAATGGCTGTGTGTCTATTCTAAAGGTACAAGGCAAATATAGTTTAATATGGAACATATATTTTATAGAACAGCATTTTATTTCTGTCATTGGCCAATAAAAGTACAATCAGTAAATAAACAACACCAATCTATTCCTTTACAACAAGAACTATTAGCAATCATTTGTGGGTGAAGCTTATTTCCAATATCATATGTCTTGAACAATAAATATATGAATTCATGTTCCAAAACCATTGTTGATTTGCATAGTTTATCCCTGTACTCACTATTGAAATATTTCTTAAGCTATGAAGGTGATGTACCAGAAAGCTGGTGAGAAAATTACTAGATAGAAAGGAAAATATTTAACTTGACATATGTATTTGATAACATCTTCACTAGAGTTTAAAGAGTACATTGAAGTCTGTATTTAGAAACGGTGCAGTGGCCTGGAGCTGGAGGTCTTGCCTCACAATCAAGAGGCTGTGAGTTCATACTGAGATTATATCTGCTGGAAAAAATCTCTGTGTGGGCAACAGAAAACATTCAGCTTCATTTAGTTGCCCAGACTCCACTCTACAAGGGATTATTGGGCCATTAAAAGAAGATGATTGACATCTGTCTTTTTAGACTTCAGTATGATAGTAGAGGGAATTGGTGGCTCAGTGTCTAAGGCACTGAGTTTGTTGATCAAAAAAGTTGGCAGTTCAGTGGTTCAAGTCCCTAGTGCTGTCTAACAGAGTGAGCTCCCATTACTTGTCCCAGCTTTTGCCAACCTAGTGGTTCGAAAGCATGTAAAAATGCAAGTAGAAAAATAGGAACCATCTTTGGTGGGACGGTAACAACATTCTGTGCCCCTTCAGGGTTTAATCATGCTGGCCACTTGACCACAGAGACATCTTCAGACAGCGCTGGCTCTTTGGCTTTGAAACTGAGATGAGCACTGCCCCTTAGAGTGGGGAACAACTAGTACATATGTGAAAGAGGAACCTTTACCTTTACGATAGTATCAGTAAAATTGGAATTTTTGAAAAGAAAAATCAAATTATGGGTTTTTTGGCAAGTTTTTATGCATGACCTATCCACCTTATCGTACCTTATCTTTTATTTTTCACCTTATCTTATCTTTTATTTTTGTCTTTTCCCTTTCAATCCAGCTCCACCAGTTTGTTAGGACCATCTCCTTCAACAATAGTGCTGGGGAAACTATCACTTTTAATCAGGATGGACAGTTGGAAGCTGGATTTGATGTGATTAACTGGATCGTTTCTTCCAATCAGTCCTTTCAACACGTGAAAGTTGGAAGGGTGGACCCCCAGGCCATTCCAGGCAAAGTGTTCACCATCAATGAAAATATTATAACATGGCATAGTTGGTTTAATCAGGTATAATTTATTGATGTTTGAAAAGGCACATCCCTCAGAAGAAATCCCATGTGCATTAAAGTCAAATATTGCTTTAGCTTAATGTCGCTCATTAGGCAATCTATAGCAAATGAATTTCAACCAACTTCTATACTTTTGATATGCTATTGATTGAATTGAAATGATTACAGGAAACCGGAACCCATTTTATTCTATTAGATTTCTATCTTTTTAAACATGCTTACCTTGGTTTTGTCAAATTGGTTGTACTGAGAAATTTAGTTTGCAGAAAGAAAAAAATATTTTAAGTAGATTTAGTCCTTTGCAATGCATTAAAGCTGGTAATGACTTATATACATTATATTAACATGCAAAAAGTTACTTTATGTTTATTTAAGAAGAAATGTACAGTTCATATTATCTTTGTCATTATTCTCTTCTAAAGTTCTTACAACTTTTTTTTTGAATTCAGAAAAGAGTTTTATTTCTTTTAAAAAACACAAATATTTCATCATTCATCAATCATTAAAACATTGAAGTACAATTTTTTTGTATGCCCCTCCCTCCCTCCACCCCGACTTCCCAGAACCCGTACACGGTATGGATTTTTAACTAACACAG